TCAAAAGTATCAATGTCAGCAGATGGTGTGAACATTTTCGACTTCTGCTCTCTACTGATATTTTTCATTACTTTATTAAAGCTACCCTTTCTCTTCTCAGAGAGTAGATAATTCCCAACATCGTTTTTGTTAATTTTGTTAACCTCCAATATGTAATTTCTCATGGTTGCAGTTCCAACATCAACAACAGCCGATAACACAGCCTGGAAATTCTTGATTTCTTCAATGACAGTGTGCCCAATACCTATTTCTGGTCAAAAATGAAATGAAAAATTAAAATAATTTGGAAGAGTAAGTTTAATTAATTTCAATTTGTCACATTTACAATTATGCCTTTAATACACAACTTTCATTTAGATTTTATTGCATATCATTACCATCAGCAAAATCAGCAGCAGCAATAATAACATCAGCAGCCAAATACTAGAAGAATCAGTATTAGCAGCAGAAAAAATCAGCATCATCAGCAATAGAAACAGCATCACTGTCATCAGTAGCAGCGACATTAGTCAAGTTTTTTTGCGGATTTAAGTGTAGTACTAGATCATAATAGTGTCATGGGTACAAAGTTATATACAGTACTGCGTCCAGTATATTTCCGTCGGGGAGAAAACTACAAATTATTGGGGAAAAATTATTATATATTTTTTACATATCAATAGACTCTAAAATTGATTAAATAAGCCTTTGAAACCGCTAAATAAGTCACATTTTTGGGGGCTTCGCCACTTGGACTGTTTTGGAAGGTTTTAAACAACGCCCGACCACACCCACTTTGTTCTCGTCAGGGACTTTGGAAAGCCGATCTGGAAAATACTGGTGCCTCAACTGGCTCAATCACTAAGCACATAGAGGCTTGTTTCCATGATAGGCTTTACAAATCTAACTATTATTATTATTAATTATTAATCAGCAACATCAACAAAATCAGTAGCAGTAGCAACAGCAGCAGAATCAGCATCAGCAATAGAATCAGAATAGGTTGAAGTAAACTCAGTATCAGCAACAGCATCTTTATCAGAAATATCAGCAGCAGAATCAGCTTGAGTAGCAGTAGACTCAGCATCAACAGCAAAATCAGCATTAACAGCAGCAGCAGCTATTATTAATAAGACTAGTTACTTACCTTCCAAGGCTCCATCCTTGTCTCTTATACACATCT